TTGAGACGGAGTTTCACTCATGTTACCCAGGCTGGAGTGCAATGGCGCGATCTCGGCTCACCGCAACCTCCGCCTCCTGGGTTCAGGCAATTCTCCTGCCTCAGCCTCCTGAGTAGCTGGGATTACAGGCACGCACCACCATGCCCAGCTAATTTTTTTGTATTTTTGGTAGAGACGGGGTTTCACCATGTTGACCAGGATGGTCTCGATCTCTTGACCTCGTGATCCACCCGCCTCGGCCTCCCAAAGTGCTGGGATTACAGGCTTGAGCCACCGCGCCCGGCCTTCTCTGTATATTGTTAATTACAGTAAGTGGAGGTATAACCAGACCACAGCCTACACTTGGGCCAATCAGAGTTGGCCAATCAAATGTAGCCTGCTCAAACTCTTCAAACTACTCAAATAAGCAAATGCCAAGCTGCAACTGATTGGCAGTTTCTGTACCTCAGTTGTTTTCTTTACATCATTTTTTTGTCTAAGTCTACCACATGGCTGAGTCTGAGCATACTTTGGTTCAGGAGTCTGCTCGATTTGTGAGTCATTCGTTGTTCAATTAAACTCTTAAAAGAAACTTCAACCAACTTAAATTTGTCAGAAAACTAGTTGTCATGGCTTCTTTCTGTTGCCAGGTAAGCTCAGTTCTATTTTGGGTAAGGGGTGGCTGGGGACTTGCTCAGGAAAGGCAGTGGCCCTACTAGGAAAGGTGTGCTGAGACCATTCATGTATGTGAGCAGGCCAGAGACTAGAAAGCATAGTCAAGTTCACCAGATCACTCGGTTTGGAAGTCATGGGATTACTTCCCGATCCCTCTTCAATTAGGGCTATTGCCCTGGCTGCTGGGAACACTGTCAGCAGTCAACTCTGTGTTCATCACCTTCAAGGGTATCCCCTTCTCCCAGCAGACCTCATCCAGTTACTGATCGCAAAGGCTGTATAAAGGTCTCTGGTTCAAGCAACCATGGAGTAGCTGATGGGCCACATGCATACCAATGCTCTTGGGACTGGCCAAAGCATTTTTGCACCTGCACTAGTTAACTCCTGATGTAGATCCTTCCCATCCCTTTAACAGGTTCTCTAAGTCGTCTTCATGCCAACTCCACTTCAATCTGTGAGCCACCCAATCTGCAGTAAGCTGATGCAGCCTTGGAACATGCATGCAGACAGTGGGAACAGATGTAAAGGAAGCATCAAGTGTCTTCTGTTAGAAAAATCGAGTGTCATCAATAGGCCTTTTAAGTTTAAGAATCTACTCAAAGTGTCCCAGGTCCAGCTCCGACTTCAGCTGTTACCCTCTGAGATCTGCAATTTTGGCCTCCCTGATAGAAATCTGGTAACTACAAAAGTTACTTAGCAATTTAGTGTTTAATGACTTAGTGGGAAATTCTGCCCTCTGATCCATTTCAGACATCAGTGATCTTAACAGCTCTTTAGAGCTATTTAGAAAGTTATGGATATAGTCAAGAATTACCTGAGGATACTCTTTTTCATTATCTGTACCACAGGAGCTACCCTGGTAACAGATTCTGCAACACATCCAAGCAAAAGGTAGTTTTGGCATTTCCACAGTAAGTTTTCCAACCCAATCAGGCTACTTGACCAGCTTCACGAAAGACCTGCTAGGTGAACTATAACTTGTGGAACTCAGACATACAGGTAATAAAGTGTCCCAGTGCTTTTGCACCTTGGATCAAAAACCATTTAAGCAGGTGAGATCTATAGTTACTAATGAGGATTCATACCCTGGCTCAGACATAAGTGAGTTTACAGACATCTAGAGGTAAAGACCTGCACCCAAATTCTAAGCTTCTCCAATACACCTCTTCTGGCCATGGAATTGAAGCTCCATTTAGATACCTGCAGTGGGGATTGTAATTGACTGCTGTGCCTAACTGAGGTGCCATGACAGGAATATGGAGTCAAGCCCATTTCTGTAAGATAAGGGGAGAGTTCCCACATGTCCAATCCAGTGTAGTCACTTGCATCTCACAGGACACAACCCAAGAACTTAGTTTTCCCCAACCCTGGCTCAAGGCCCTAGAGCCTAGCAAGGCCCTTAAACTTTCCCTAAGCCTCCACATTTAGGTGCCTCCCTCTAAGAGCTTTTTTGCAGCTTTCAGTTTTCACCAAGTCCCTGCCTTACACCAAATGCAACCCAAGCTGACTTAGCACAAGAGCCCACTCTTGGGTGCACAGGATTGTCTAGATTATTGGAATGAGGCTTCAATCAGTTTTAGACATGAGATCAAAGTCACAAAGACACCAACAATTTTGTTTTCTGTCTTGCTCTGAAGTCTGTAGATCCATGTCCACAAGGAGTTTCTGATGATCAGATTACAGAAAAGGACTAAATGAGAGTTGGCAGCAGTATCAACTCAGAATGAAGGGAACTAGAAAGAATCGCTTAGTCAAAGCCTCTTCCTCCCTTTGATACC